ATTAACTTCATGGTCCATTTGGTTCTTACATAAACAGCATCTGGTTCCATTAGGAAAGGCACAAGATTAAAATTACAGAACTGGTTCTACACACAAGATGACTTGAGTAAGCAGAAGACAACATATTCTTCTGATTATTAAAAACCAGAAATGTTTACATCATTTTTCCTTTGATACTTTCTTCCAGATACAAGTGTAGTACTAGTTAGATGCCGGTGTAACTTTTTTTTCTTTCTAGAATGACTTCAAATTATAAAATGAAACTACATTTACGTACTAAATCGCTTTAAATTTGAAACAGTACACATCTATTTGTACTTAAATTTTATTGTCTTATTGCCCTTTGAACCATGTCTAACAAAAATGTGTGCCATTTAAGTTGTAACTCGCATAGAGGACATGCAGGTCATGTTACAGTATCATCATTACATAATGAATAGACTACTCTTGAGCTGCTCACAAGCATACCTCATGAAAAAATATTATTATTCTTTATTTTACCTTATCTCAACAAAAAAATTTCCAATATTTACATTTTTGTTACTTTTATAATAATAGATAAAAAATACACATGAAAAACAAGAAATAAAGTACTTACCTAGGTCTTTTTTTTTATTCCTTCAACTGTCGATGATACTAATAATACCACTGCATTAAATAATTTTTTATTTAATTAAATCATGACCAAAGAATATAGAATAATCACTGGCAAAAAGCTGACAATGTTCTATAACTATAATAATTTTTATGGCTTTATAACTATACGACAAGAACTGTTAAAAATTCAGCTAAGCTCATCGATGTGTTTCCCATGGGAATAAAGTTTGAACTGAAAGCATGATTAAGAATTCACTATAAAGAAAACATCATAATATATACATCATTTGATATATGAAAATTTTGGCTTTCTATTATTTATAGATAATATAGTATTCAACATCAGAAAGAACTCCTGCAAATTTCTGAAAGAGAGGATGTGACAGGTGGACATGGCAAGAGGGGTCTGATTTTTTATGTGATGGCTCTGTAACCCAATAAGACTGAAGGCTATAAAATTTATGCTTTGCCTGAGTGATAACATTAAAATAAGTAATTTATGTTAAATTTCATACTTCTCGAAAGTGTGGTAAATAAATTAGAGAAGAGGGGGTGCCTAGAGAGAAAATGTCACAATTCTCATACTAGAGGAAATTCAGGATTTTTTTTAAATATTGCCTTATAAAATTAAAACTTAAATGCCATTAATACTTGGATTACTAGCTATGTTTTTATGCCTAATTTATTCCCATATCATGATAATAAAGTATTTTAATTAAATTTTGAATGTAACTCACTAAAACTTCATGATAGAAAAAAGATTCCCACAGAGAAAGTGTCAATGAAAATATAAAGTGTGCTGTATCTTCAAATAATACCTTAAAGGTTAGTAATCACAGTTATCTGTGTATTACCAAACACATAAAACAGACTGTCTCTGGCTCCCTTGTATATTAATTCCACAAACTTCCTGGGTTATACCATGTCAAGCTAAAGCCAAGAGGCTTCTGTGCTGTGGGCACATACCAAAGATACACCTAGTCACCACTTTAATACATTCATTTCTTCACTGTCTTATAGAAACACCTCTTCTGTCATATGGCAGCCTTTCATAGCTGTTGATACATCAGCTGACACACGTTATCCACTCTTTATATTCTTGTGGGGTATCTGCTATAGGTAAAGGACCATACATGATATATTCAGGAAGCGAGACTTCTTAGCCAAATGTGCATATTTTGCAAAACAAAAATATTTTTTGATCTTTGTTCAGTTGCACAATATGATGTATGGTAAGTATTTGTCCCAGTTGGGATGAACAAACTTACCAAGCATATGCTTAACAGTCTATATTATCCATTCCACTAAACCATCAGATTAGGGGTGATAAGATGAAGTGCATATCTTCACTACACCCAACACTTTACACCACTTTGTTTGTTGTTGTGGTTACTTTTAGTCCATGATCTGTGTAAATCTATTCAGGTGCTCTAAACCACGCTATATTGTGTTCCACCCTATTGCATTAACATTAGACTGTGAAGACACATAGACCAATGGATAAGTCTCATCCCACTCTGGGAAGTAGTCAATAAACATGCATATATACAGGTTGACATCATCCTATCTTTGGAACTGGATCAGTAATATCCAGGACTATTCTCTATAAAAGAGAACCAACAATTATTTGTTGAAGTTTACCCTGTTTAGGCTGGCTTTTTCTCTGGGTGGAACATACCATACAGTGTTCATACCAGAACTGATTATCTCGAATTGAATGAGGCCAGAAGAACAACCATTCAAAGTTAGCACAATTGTGTGTAACACCTGGGTACTCTCTCACATTTGTGTTATGGAAAGTCTGGAGAAACTCAGGCTTCAAAGGACTGAGGACCACTAGCTGTAACATAGGCTGAGAATCACTGTTGGTGGTTGATAACAATGGTACAGCACACTTTCCTGCACTTGTACAAATGCTATAGGCCACATGCATCAATTTTACATTCCTCTATTTCAGCTGATTGCATTCTACCTTGCTGCACAGCAAGGAGCAACCATGCTAGATCTGGGTCCTTCAGATGTTCTTCTTGGAGCCCCCAAAGGGTTAAACATGGGATCCATCAACTAGTGGAATCTCCTATTATATGACTTGTCATCATTAAGGCAGAAATGGTCTCAATCCCCACACATTGTCCATGGTCTGGTCATTCAATGAAAGGACAGGGTTTCACAGTACAGAGTGAATCCATCTGAGTTTCCATGTTGCAGTGCTGTTATCCAGTTAAAGTTCATTAACCATTTCAGTGATGCATGGTTCATTTAAACAGAGAACTTTCTACCGTACAAATGTTACCAGTCGAAAACGATAGCCTTGTCTACCTTGCTGCACAAGGTATGGACAGTTCACTCGATAGTGATAGCAAGTGCTCTCTACCCTTCCAGGATGATGTCCAGGTGAAGGCATCAGTGGCATAGGTTATAGCATGTAAACCATGGTAGGATGGGAGAGCCATGCCCATTCATTTGTTTTTATCAACATGGTTATATTTGTGGATGGTTAGTTAACCCCTTGACAGGGCTCGCACTTGGTATGACATGGGTGTTGGGTAAGTCAGTCTGTCTGAAGTAAAGTCACTTCAGCTACCATTACAGACTTCTTTCTCTCTTGCGACTGGTTTAAAGTTACCATTTTGTACCACAGTGCCATAAAATATTTCTCTATAATGGTGACAAGATCTCTCATACCAATGTGAAGTTTCATTCTTTCACTGAGTAGCCCCTCCAGGAACTCATCTAAGAGGTTATCACCATGGTCCACACAGATGCCATCACAACCTTACTGAGTAAACAGCTTAGATCATCCATGTATGTTGTGAAGCTTTCTGTGGCACCTCTCTTCCAAGCTTCAAGCTCAGCCCACTGGGTTAAGTCTCCAATGCAACTCAATAATGACTGTCTAAAAGACCTATAGTTGCTCCTCACACAAGTGCTTGATGGAGTGGCAGTAAAGGGCACCAAAATATTTTTCTTCTTATCATTCAGTGATATATTCAGGTAAAACTGAGTTAATCCAAGATCATCTACCAGACTGTCTGAATTCAACATTCTTTACATTGTAGGTAAAGTATGATTTTCCCAGAGTGATTAGTGGTACCTATGTGATTGGTCATTCTAATTTAAACATGGGGAGGTTGTAACCTTGAGATACCAACTGAAGTACTTTTGAAGAACACTGTCTGTTAAACTTCTTGCAAGATGTGCAGCATTACCACCATTCTATTCATGGGCAGAACAGATGTGACCTCAATTGAATGACAAAGAACAAAGGCAGCTAGAAAAACATGAATCCAGAACATGAAATTTTACCAGTTTTATGTAGGGTGTCTTTATACTAATATCCCATTGCAAGAGATTTGTCTTCAAATACAGTGCATGTGTTATCTAAGTTGATGATGTTTGAAGCTAAGGAAGAATATATTTACAGATTGATTGTGCTAGTACGAGATCTAAGTTTGCCCTGCTATGGCTAAATTATCTTTAAGCTTTTATGAACAACAGTGTCTAAAATAGTCTTATAAGATTTAAGTCATTTTTATTATAGAACAAATACTGGTGATACATTTATTCTTCCTTTCAATCACAGAGACATACAAAACATTTTTGAAATATCTGAATAAACATACAAGTATAAAATTTACAGGCGAATGTGAACAATAATGTGGTTTAGCAGTCTTAGATGTTTTAAAATGTAATCAACAGGTATTCCAAGTAAATTTACGTAGAATACACAATAACCATGCTAATGGAATTGTAAGCAATAACTGCAATTTGAAGGATGAAATAAACTGTATTAACATTTCTGAATTGTAAAGAGTGAGATGGTGTTTTCCTTAAAAGTACTATCAACAATGCTAAAGTCCTGAAGTTTATGTGTCAAAAAACCAAGAATAGTATTACTACATTTAAGAAAACAATAATAATATATATAAGAAGGAAATTAACCTCAGTTGTACACAGAGCTTAACCGCAAGTTTAAATTTGACATATATTTAATTCTATCATAAATATAAGAAACTTATGAATAAAAAACAATTTGTCATTTATTAACTTGTATGCCCTTCTTGTGTGGAGGAATATGTGGGCTCTACCACTAGATGGCTCTTAACTTGTATAAAAAAGCACATTCTTGGGAAAATTCACAACTTGTCATGTATTGCACAATATATTTTAACAAAGTTTCAGATTCCGATCACCAATCAGCTGATGACTAAGAGTTATTAAAAATTTGAGAGGGTTTAATAATTACAAATTTGAAACCTGAACCCAATGAACAAAATTTAGTGACACGAATCAAATGGTAAGTTTGAAGAAGTTTAAAAGTTAAAATGTTGCTGCTGATACTGAAAATCAAACAAAAATATTTTAGTTTGAAATAGGACAATGTGGGATTAAACCTGCCCAACCTGAACTCTTCTGTATCAGTCATAAGTTCATGCTCAATTTGTAAAAACACCTGGACCTGTAATAGTCAATTATAAAATTAGTTACACATACTAAATGTATTCAACAAGTATTCTTTAACAAAACTTTATAAGATGTTAAAAGTCAAATAGTGACACGTATAAGCTTACTTAACTTCCTCATCTGTTACAGAGGAATGGGATTGATGATTCAACTCTACAGAATAACCTATTCCTACTTCTCAGCATCAAAACTAAGAAATCAACACAATAACTCAGACTTGTGGAAACATACTTAATCTAGAAAGTTTAAATTATGTTTTCTAAATTTTAGAAGTAACTTATTCTTATTTTTCAGTTCCTTAGCAACTTGATCAACATCTTTATACTTCTGTGTATTTGTCACTTAAGAAACTATAATCATTTTTTGTTAAAATAATATCACCAGAACAAGCTTTCTTTATACACTACCATTTGATCTAAAATAGTATCACTTCTAGAAATCTTAGATTTTCAATTGGCTGAAATAAAATTTAAAAAAGAAAAGTTTAATAAGTACACTATATACTTTAAAAAAATTTGTGCTTATGTTTAGTCGAAAATATAATAAAAAAGTTAACATTTTCTTAAAGTAAAAAGGTATTTCCAATAGATACTTACCTCTGCTTATAAAAAACTTTCTCGACTTATAATGCCCTTTAGGGGCTCAAATTTTTGCTCGCCACTAGCCTTGATACTCTCACTTATCTCTGCATACTAACATGCAAGTGATTATGAAGCAACCCTTCACCAACAGAAGTGCAAACTACCATTATTGTAACTAGCACCCTCTCTAATCTTGCAGTTCGATTGATCAGATCACACCAAACCGCACCAGAAGTGAGGAGGACAGGTGGGAAATGTGAGAAAGGTAAGTATCTATCGGAAATACATTTTCAGTTTAAGAAAATGTTTAACTTCCGATATGATATCTTACCTACTCCTCTCACAAAAAGCTAGAATCCCACACTGAACAGGTGGAGGGCCAGTAAGATGATTCTGAGGAAGTGCCTAAAGGAAAACCATGGGGTGTGATAAGGATCTAAAAACAACACACCCATGGGAGACTGTACCACTTCTGAGCCAGGTATACTCTTCGCCATGATAGTAATATGTAACTAAAAGAGCAGAAACAAAGAGAGGACTCTAAGAAAAGTTACAGAAATAGTGAGAACTCACCAGTGTAGAGTGGCTAGGGTGCAACAGACTATAAAGGGAGTTTAACCTCAACCAACACCTGGTGGCATCTGGAATTGTATATCAGTTCTGCATTAGAAAGAAGGTCTTCTACCTGTCACCTCAAAAACAGGTACCAGGGAAGAGAAGCTCCCGTACCAGGAACCCGCCTCCACAGGTGTGTATCTCCAACACAACCAACATGAGATCCACCAGGAACCTGACAGTCAGTGGACAGTAGGAAGTTATAGGGCCCAAGTGGGTGTACATCCCAAGTCCAAAACCTGGCAGAATTGGGAATTTGTCATCCAGTCCACAGTAGGAGGAGAGTAACCAACCTTAGATCTGCCAGAATTCACATGTCTTCTCCAGTAACAACCAATACCAGATTCACTGGGAAGTGACATCCAGTCGATGGTACAAAGAGGGACAGCCCTATAGGGTGCATCTCCAGTCCAAATCCTGGTAGCATTGGAAATTTATCATTCAGTATGCAGTAGAAGGAGGGTACCATCTAAACACATGTGAGGACTTATGTGGCTGGTCCAGCTACAACCAACACCCGATCCCTTGCTAACTGACATCTAGCGGACACTATGAAGGAGGGTGCCTCAGTCAGAGGGGCGAACTGCAATACAATGCAGAGTGCTACATCCAACATCTGCTGCTATCTGGAATTGTACATCACTTCTGCGGTAGGAAGAGCATCACACCATCTATACTGGCAGAATGCCACTGCCCTACTCTCAACTGAGTGGTATTGTGCACACTGAAGAGGAAAGGCCTCCATGGTCCACCACCCAAGTGGCTAGGAACTGGTAAGTGGCAAGGCCTCCCATACTCACCTAGAAGAAGTGAAGAAGGAGGGGAAAAGTGTGTTGAAGAGTCCAGAGGACTGCAGCACTGGATATAATGTGATTGCAATACCCTAATTTGAAAAGCAGAGTGATCATGTTGATGAAAGTGATCAACAAACACCTGGTGGCATCTGAATTGTACATCAGGTCTGTGGTAGAAAGAGCCTCAAATGCCACAGATCTTCAGAGATGGATAGTAATCCCCATCTGCTTTACTCATGATAGTCCATGAGTGTACAGTCCAAGACAAACATACTTATAAAGCAAAAGAATACCAGGTATACCTATGAGTAACCCTGCAAAAAACCTCATCTCAACAGTGAGCATAATATGACTTGGATATGTGTTGTGACATTTAATTTTGAAACCACATAGAAGACATTGTTTGAGTCGATCAACCAACACCTAGCAGCATCTGAAATTGTATATGAGGTCTGCTTTAGGAAGACCCTCAACATAACAGTCATCTAGCATGGTATATGGTCACAGGTCATACAGTGCAGATTTAAGTGGGGTCCAAATATGTGATAAAGACCCCTGCAAAGAAACAGAAAATGAAAGGAATACTTATCACCCACAGATAAACAGTTTCAGCACTGATGATGTCCTCCAAAGAAAAATGGAAATGTGCAGCCAGGGACATGGTAAGGTGGTGGATCTGATGGGAAGAAAACAGAAAAAAGGTGACAATCATCTGAAGAAAGGGAAAGAAACAACTGGCAAATTAACTGGCGAATTCAACTCAGAAGGGTAATGGGGAAAAGGTGACGGGAGATATGAGGATTTCACAAAAAACAAACAAATGGACATGGGAACCACATGTCATATACCATTGGAGAGTCCTGACTGGGCAAAGGAGGTTAGCAGGATTGGAACAGTCATAAAAGTGGGAAGTGGAGGGAAGAGAAAATGGTGTGAAGGTCCTCTAATTCCATTAATCTCCAGTTTCCTTCTCTCCTCCTCCGGATCCCATTTTTTGCTCGCCTGATTCATTCCAGGGGCCTTTGTTTCCACCATTATATGGACATATGGCTGAAGTCTTTGGCATAAAGGAATGGATAGGAAAGAGGAGAACATAGGAACTAAGAAAAAAAAAATGCAGCAATCATCAAATGCAGTCACATTAGAACAACAAAGTTTGCAAACCAACAAGACCAGGAACAGGGACTTCAAGGAAAGATGATATAATGAACATGAAGACAAAAGTTCCAATGGATAACCACAAAGAGGAGCTAATCAGGAAGGAAAGCAGGGTAGGGAGGACGGGAAAAGTGAAAGGAATGAAACACCATGGATAAGTCTGGCAACTGGAAAACACAAGCAAAGTCCATAAACAAAACATGGCAGATGACACTGCCCCATAGCCCACGATAGAGGAAATCGAAAAATCTCATTCAAAAAACCAAGGCTAAAAGGATGATATGTGAGGAACCACAAGATGGGAAGAATGATAACCCCTGGGACAGACCAACAGTGGTATGTTGGTTTTTTCAAATTTTGCACAAAGCTACCTGAGGGCTATCTGCACTAGCCATCCCTAATTTAGCAGTGTAAGACTAGAGGTAAGGAAGCTAGTCATCACCATCCACCGGCAACTCTTGGGCTACTTGTTTACCAATGAATAGTGGGATTGACCATCACATTATAATGCCCCCATGGCTGAAAGGGTGAGCATGTTTGGTGGGACGAGGATTCGAACCTGTGACCTGCAGACTGCGAGTCAAGCTCCCTAACCACTTCGCCATGCTAGGCAGGTATGTTGGTAAACTGCCATGGAGGAAGAACGAACACGACAGGAAACAATGGAAGCTACACGCAAAAGTCTGGCTCTTCAAGCAAGGGACCAGACAAAACCATGTGTGAAGATTTAGTGCAACTCTAGATGGAAGACACATGCCAGAGTGTGACTGATGAAGAAGTGTCAGAGATAAAGGAAGAGAAAAAGGAGGCAACACGAAAAACCAGCACTGCAGTGGAAACCATGTGTGAGCTGGCCAATACAGAGCTACCAGCAGAACACTACATGGAGTGGTCTGAAGTATGGTAATGACACATGGGAGGAGACAAATAGGGGGGTTTGCATATAGGTACCAACTTTTGGCAGAAAAAAACTGGCCAACAAACACCTATGTGACCCCTGATCTTGGAATTCCCTTAAGAACACAGGTCAGGAAGTTGTCAAGTTCAAATGGACTCAAGGTTACCCAATTACTGAAACAACTTTCAAGATCCATGGATCAACCACCAAGGAGCTTCAAACATGGGCAAATTGAAGGAGTCTGGTTCCCACTATCCCAGACCCAAGAGGGGTGGTCAAAGTAAGACAAAAATGGGAAAAGTAATTGAACTATCAGGGTCTGATCCCCACTAAGGGAGAAGTGACACCAAACTATGCGAGGCCAAATAAAGGAAGTTTGAAGAATGATAATCAAAAGCATGATCATCCACAGCAGCGATATTTTCATTAATGCAAATGAAATAAAACCGAAAAATACTGAATTTTTGTTAATAAAAACCAAAACGAAAATGAATGTGAAACAAAATTAAAACAAAATGTTTCTTCAAAATGATCACGAACAAAAATTAAAAATCTCAAAATGAAAATAGTAGTTGGTAATAATTTGTTCACTTGGAAAGGTTTCAACTTTCAATTCTCAAAAGCAAAAGTTTTAAATTTTCTTATGGTATGGGAAAGAGCAATAAGGGTCAGTCTGTGAATGTTACTGAGTTTACTAGGCATAACTGTCAGCATAGAGTAAGCCTTTTTGTCAAATATTCACAATTATAATGGAAACTAATTACTATAAATAAGTTATTTTACAAAATTATTTTGTAAGTTGTATAATGTAAGTTTGAATATTTATCACTACTGGCTGGCCACTAGTCACTGTAATCAGTGTTGTGGTTATGGTTTGGACTCTGGAGTATAACTAACTGGTACATTTGTAATTTTTCGTTTTTTGCAAGACCAATGACTGAAATAATATTTTTATTACTTTTCATTTAATTCACATATTGTTCATATCACAAGATGTAAATTTCAGAGTAATTAATAGTAATTATACACTTAAAAGAATTGCTCTATAAACAGGATGGAAACTAAAATTAATGTCATATACTCAAACCTAAAACTATTGCAAACAAACAAAACAAAATATAAAATAAAACTAAAAATATGTAAAAACCAAAACTAAAGCTACTATTAACAAGCAAACAAAATAAAAACTAAACCATCAATGGTCAACAATATGTAGAAGTCAAGGCATACTGACCCCTAAACACAAATGCTCCCCAAAATGACTTGCATGAACACCAATAAAAAGTATATAATGACTCAAAGGCTCATCCCTGAGAAGGGCAGGGGTGGAACATAGAAAATGGGAGATAAGGACAGAACATAACATACTTGAATAATCAAATCCACCAAAGGGGTAAAGAGGTCTGGGCAAGTCCCCCGGAATAACATGCAACTGAGAGGCATATTCAGAGGGAGTAAAAAGGCTTCCCAAATCTGAAACTTCCTGATCACTGAAAACCTTGATAAGAAAATCATCAGTTTGTTCTGATTGTTGCATGAGATTGGTCAACTCCCGATGAACCAGAACCATCACTTCACGGGCCAAGAATCGGTAATTCCGCTATCACAGTAACAGCAGTTGTAGTCATGACCACCCAAAACTGTGAGTGCATAACTCAAGAAATTGAAAGAGGAGAAAAGATAAATAAATTTGTAACACTCCACAAAAGAGAATGAAAACAGTGAAGAACAATGTAACTGAAGTAGTACAATTAAGAAAGTAAAAACTTGTGGATAAGTGAATCAAACCACAAGCAAATACACGTCTATTCAATAACACTGCCAATGAAGAAGTGGTTGACAGCTGCAAGATTAGAGAGGGTGCTAGTTATGACAGAGGTAGTGTCACACTCTTATTGGTAGAGGGTTGCTTCATAATCATTTGCATGTTAGTATGCAGAGATAAGTGAGGGTATCAAGGCTAGTGGCAAGCCAAAATTTGAGCTTCAAGAGGACATTATAAGTCGAGAAAGCTTTTTGTGAGGAGACGCAAAATACTGTATTGGAATAAAATCTAAGTTTCTACAATATTCATAGTTTTTAAACCAAAGAGAAAATTCTGAGAAAAAGATAGGAAAAATGTGCCAATATTTTCAAATTATTAATAACATTTACACTTTAAATAAAAGAGAACATATGAGGTTATGATATAAAGTACTCAAATACTGATTAGAATGATGTTCTTACCATTTCAGTGACTATCACAGGCCAAAGTGAGGTCAAGTGATGCGAAGAAATCCTCAGCAATAGGACACGAAAGCACAGAAACACCTGAGCTTGGACTGATGGCACTTGTGGTAGCCGCAGGCTTTCTGCTAGACGCTCTACAATCAGTAACAATAAAATCCAAACCCAAACATTTCTAACAGCTAAATTTCTATTGATACAAACATGCACACACCCAAAGAGACTACATTAATCCTTTCGTGATGGATATCCCGTTAAACCCTTTTCTGCATAAGTCACTGTGTTACATTCAAAATATAATTAAACACCTTTAATATCAATGCATATGAATGAAATTAACATTATAACGTATCTTATAATTCGAAGTTTTATGTTATCTAGGTTTTAAATCCTTTATTTCAAAAGTAACCTTTAAAAAACTATTTAAACTTCAGATGTATTGCTACGCCACCAATGAAGTATGAAAATTCTCTACTTTGGCTCTCTATATCTTCAATAATACAAAGACAGTTAAGTTGAGGTACATCAAGACAATAAGATGCTTACATAACATTTTGAATCATTCATTTCAAAATTCTAAGAATGAATACAGTTGAAACAAGCAATAATTATTTTTCACTCCTGACAGTCTCCATGCCCACCTTCAAAGGATTTGTTTGATTTTTATAGCCTACATGTATATGTTACATACATATATATAATCATTAGAAAGAGCTCATTTTACACTATAATCTAACCATGGTTATTTTAAAATTGGCACAAGATGCTGTCATGGGTGTAACTGACTGTAGTATTGTTGGTTGCTCGATTGACTGTATCACTGATGATTGTTTCTTACCTAAATATGTAATAGTTAGAGATACAGTTTAAAATGTATTTAGACCTTACTATTATATTTTAGTTAATTTTGTATTAGTTATGTTTTAAAATAAATAATTAGATGGTTTAAACATTTTTTAAGTATACATCATACTTTGCCTCAGTTCTCAAGGCTTATGATATTATGTGCTAAACCAAAATTTTGCCAAAAGATTATGCATGCCTCCCAAAGAAACTGCCTCAAGAATACCGTTGACTTGTGTCTAGGTCAATAACAAGTGGTGAAGGACAAATATGGAAAATAAAACATTTGAAATTAACTATATGTGAAAAGGAAAGACCCAAAATTATGAATATAAACAAAAAACCTCTTTAAAGATATTCTACAAAAATTAAAGATAATTTTTATTAGAAAGACATAATTAAATAACATCATTCTTTGTGTAGAAAATACTTGTAAACTTTAACAAAATCTTATCAGGTTTTGTGAGGAACGCACACATTTACCATATTTTTGTTGCATAAATGTCCTTCATTAGTCGAGCAGATGGTAATCTCATCTGCCCATGTTTAAGGAGTTAAGACAGCTTCTAGATTAATTCTTAAAGACACATCTATTTCTCTTTCACACTTGACACAGAATGGAGAAATAAACACCCTATATGTTAAGTAGTATTATAACAATTTATCTAATGTAGAGAACAGTCATCATGGGTCATAGATTGTTCTATCATAGTCTATCGAGTGTAGAGAACAGGAAACATGGGTCAGAGCTTGTTCTATCAGTCTACCCACTTTAGAAAACAGACAACATAGCTGTAAGTTGGTCTATCACAATCTAACCGGTGTAGTGAAGAACCATCATGGGTCATAGGTTGTTCTATTATAGTCTATCCAGTGTAGAAAACAGGAAACATGGGTCAGAGCTTGTTCTATCAGTCTACCCACTTTAGAAAACAGACAACATAGCTGTAAATTGGTCTATTACAATCTAATCGGAGTAGTGAACAACCATCATGTTCATAGCTTAGTCTATCATAACCTAGTTTTATCACTGAACAACTTCGAATTCAATAACAAGTATTACATTCAGGTTAATGGTACTACAATGGGTACCAAAATGGCTCCCAATTATGCCAACATTCTATGGGTCATATTGAAAACCAGCTTTTACAACTAAGCCCTGTAAAACCTCATACATGGAAACGTTACATAGACAACATATTTTTCATTTGGACAGCCGGTCTTAAATCACTTAAAGAATTTATCTCACATGCAAACTCCTTTCACAAAACAATCAAGTTTAACTGTGATTACTCGCCTACTCAGATTAACTTTCTTGAGTCACTGCTTTTCTAAAAGATGGAATTTTACACACTGACTTATACAAAAAACCTACAGATAGACCACAATACCTTTACTATAAAAGCTGTCACTCATCTCAGACTAAATGAAACATTATTTACAGTCAAGCTCTTAGAATAAAGAAAATATGCTCAGATGAAACAGACTAAAGAAAACACACCAAGAATCTAAAACAAACCATGTTACAAAGAGGATATAAAGATACCGAAATCGACAGACAAACTGAAAAGGCTAAAAACTATAAGTGTTATTGTGGACAAAGCAGCCAACAATACTACTGGCAGTTAGATCTACCCAATGATGACAACTCAGTGCTAATTTCAAAATAAATATTGTTGGATTACAGTGTAAAATAAGCTCTTTCTAATGATTATAAACATGTCATCCAATAAGTATATGTAGCTTGCAAATCTCAAGGCTAAGTACACAAAGTGAGTGTGGCACCTGTCAGGGGTTGGAAAAATTTATCTCTTGTTTCAACCAAACTCAGCCAAAGAACTTTGGAACATACATCTATATACGCTGTAGTTGGTAGTTCAAGTTAGAGACTGTGAAAGTTCAAATTCAAATTTATGCATAACGTGACAACAAAACTAAAGTTTAAATATTTTTTTAAAAGATTCTTCTTGAAATATAGGAGTTAAAACCTACGAAACATAAAACTTTGGATTATACATTATAATGTTAATTTCATTGACATACATTGATAGTAAAGTTTTCTAATTAAACTTAGAATGTTACTCAGTGACTTGCACAGAAAGGTGTTAATAGGGTACCTGTGTTTAAAGGGTTAATATGTTGTTTCCATGTAAATAGGGTTTACCATTATCAGCCATGTTAGAGGCCTCGGGTTTTGGGGGCTGCCAAACATTCTGATATTATGCAAAATAAAACTGCTGATAAATAAGTACAATATTTAAAGATATCACTGCCTTACCTTGTCTGTTTTCAGACATCAGTTACAACTGAATTTAGAGGATTGATGTAATAAATCAAATCAAATGGAATACAATAGAAACTTTCAACACTAATGACAATGGAATGGTTAAATATTTATTGCATGTCAAATATGTTATATTTACTTATAAGTTAACAAACTATAGTAATACATTAAACTTTAAAGTGAATTGCACTTATCTGAAAAGAATGAATTTTCTGTTAATTATTATATATAATGTATTTTCTTATGTATCTTCGATTAATTTTAGCAAAAAATGGTTAATATGATAAAAAAATAATTTATCCTGATCAAATGTTTCAGACCTTACCATAGAAGATGTCTTTTTAGTGCCTACACAATAACACTTTAACATCTTTGAAAGGGTTTCTTCCATTATTGCAACTGACGTAAATGTACTGGTGAAGATTATGTCTAGCATGTGTAAATATATGGGTAGAGATGATACAGAGTTAAAACCAATTTCACCAGATGCCATTTCCAGACTCGTCCTATCCCCAGATGCTTGAATGTTTTTCAAATACTGATCATGTCATTCATGAGGCTTTTAAGAACCCTCATATTTATGGCTTGTGATAGAATTACTTAATAATTACAATGAAATATATAAAAAAAAAGGAGGTTATCTTTCATGGAAAGTTTGTTCTATATTTCTGATAACCTCTGTGTACTTTAATAATATAAATATGTGAGTTCAATATCAATAAAATGACTTTATAATGTGATATTTACTAAGTTATATGCATTGTGACAAAAGTACTTGCTGCATGTGATTACCACTCAGAAACATGGGGATTCTACCTGCTTTGGTTCAATAGTTTTACAGTGATTAATTATGTACATGCTCTCATCATCATGAAGTTGTCTAGTTTATTTATATAAGCATGATCCATTATGTGTGTTAGCATTCATCACCCAGGGCTGGCTGGCTTGGTAACCATAATTTTTTGTATGGTACTTGGAAACTATTGATGGTACCCCCACTGTCTGCCATGGTCAGGCCTTAAAAGACAAACATATTCCTTTTCTCCCCCACTCCCAAGCAAACTTTTTCCTCAAATCTGCAATAATATCAAAAGTGATCTTTTTGTGGTCTGTGTCCATAGAGTTACACCACAAAATGGTGTGTGATGCAAGATTTTTTTTTATCATATTATATGCATTTAAGATTGTGGCATACTTTTCAATATACATAATTGTAGCCTGAAAAATAAATTGAAAATTGTATAATACCAACAAGTAATCTTTTCATTTGTTGCTTGCTATATTAAAATTAATACACTCCCTCCATTTTGTCTATAATATTTATACAGTGTGTAAAATTGTATGTACCTGTAGTTTCTGTTTAATAATAAATTGCAGGAATATTCATTACACTTGAACAAAACTAGCTAAAAAAAAATGATACACTACAAAGATGTTGATGACTAGATTATCACTCTTGAAAGAAATGGTTAATAGTGGTTTAAACTTTCTTAAATTAAAAATTCAAGATTTAGAACATTAACAGTATAGAAAAATGTAAATGTATTATTAGTTTATTTCCATGCACTCTGCATTTACATTAAAAGTTAGCATGACTTCGTCAGATTTTATGACACTATTTATTTTCGAAAACATGTCACTCAGATATATTTAGCAAAACTTAAAACAACTATATGGCTGTTGCAAATTACTCTTTAAGGCACTGCCATTTATTCTAGGGTTACAGAAGAGAAAACATAATGAGACAGGTTTGGAATAATTGTTTTCTGTCATACATAAAATTTGTTTAGAGATCTTCAATAACAAAAAAGGTGTATATATTTATTTATATATCCATTCATAAATATACATTTAAATTTAAACCAATAACTAATTTTAATCATTGTTTCATACAATATAAATCCACACATATTGCTACTGTTTACAAACAAAAATGTATCAAGGAAGTGTGTTTCTTACCCTGTATATCTGGCATGTACCTTTGATACTGATCAGTTTCACTACAGAACAGAACAAATGCCAATCTTTTCAGCAACTGAGATCTCTGCTCGTACTCTTGCTCCTTGCTACTGAAGAGATTGAGGGAGCCTGGATGAGCCATGGAAGCCCGAGCTTGAGATAAAAACAAACTTGTATACAAGGACAGGTATTTCAGTAATAGTTATATAAGCAATTATATTTATTCAATGAACCTGTCTAGTACAAATTTTTTGTATTACACATCTACACTGTTTTGATCTTAAGTACAAAATCTAACCTTTGACATTCAAATTCTTATAAGACTAGAAATGGATAAAACTTTAGGAGAGCAAGGGACCCTTTTCATCCATCTAAGATGTCCTATCCACTAATTTAAATTAACCCTTAAAAAAACAAAATATTCAAAGCCAGACCTTATCATTTCAATATTTATCAAGCTTTCCCTTAAGCTCCCTTAAATTAACTGCATCCAACACATCCAAAGACAAGCTGTTCCAAAGGCCAATCACCCTGTTAGAAAAATAAAGCTGTCTTAGCTGAAGATGACTTCTTCCCTGCCAAAATTTATACTTATGTCCTCTAGTCCTACCATTCTCACCATTAAATATGACAAAAATATGATGTATCAACACTATCAATTCCCTTAACAATCTTAAACCCCTCAATCAGATCCTCTCTAACTATTTTTGTTTTCAAGAGAAAACAATTTCAGATATCTTAACCTATCCTCATATAATAATCTTTCCATTCTAGGTATCATCCCAGTAGTCCTCCTCTGAACCCTTTCCAACAATTCAAGATCTTTTCTGAGGTAAGGAGCCCAACACTGAAAACAATGCTTCATATATAGCCTAACCAATGACCTATACAATTAATTTATAAATTTGTTAGATTTGTGTTTAAAATTTTTGTAGATACAACCTAAAATTATATTTACCCTGCCACTAACAACAGCACATTACTTAGTCTTAAGAAACTGACCAACCAGATCATCAAAATATTTTTCTTCCATAACTCTGTTGATGTTATTCTCATCTAACACATACTCATAATTCAAACTGTGATATCCCACGTGCATTCCCTTGCATTGATTATAGTTAAAAGTCATATGCCATTTATTTACTCAAATCATCAAATAATCCAAATCCTTTTGTAAGGCAGTAGCATCCTCCATCAACACCCAAAACTTTAATATCATCAGCAAATTTAAATAATCTATAGCATCAAACTCCTACTCAGAATACTTTAATGTGGTATTCCTGTATGAGAAATAATAAGAATACAGATAAGCCAAGGGGAATAATGATGTAAATGGTGAAAGTATTAAAATTTAGATAACTTGACCAGATGTTAAGTAAAAACAATTTGTGACAAGCAACAGAAATACTTTATTACCAGCTTGACAAAATAGACTAATGGGCAGAAGAATTAAATGTCTGTAACTGAATATAATTAACAGAAACCCAATTAAGTATAACACGAAACTGAAAGATACTTGAAGTTAAAACAGAAGTGAAATCAAAGTAAAAGAAACATATGATTGACTCAACTGAAAACACAAAACAAAAAAAGACACCAATATCTACTTACAGGGGTGTTTTGAGTTTCTCATGTACAAAACTTATATCTTAAAACCATCTTAGCTTTTGATAGCACAAACATGTCATGCATTGTAATGTAGGCTTGCATTTTTAATATAACCTGAGTTGATGTGTATTACAGAAAATGGACCTCAAGGATCAAGTTTAACAAGTGATTTCCCAATTTTTCAACTTTGTAGAAGATTTATGTAAGTAATAGATCTATACCACACATCTTTTTTTCTTAACCTCAGCTCATACTTTAACTTTTAAAATTATTTCAGTCACATCATTTAAGTCACTTGAAACTGCATATCTTGGTTGAACACAAATGAAATGGAAATATTAATGTACAACATGGAAATGTGCAAGATGTCATATATGAAACCCTTTAAAATAACAGCACACTACACAAGATGCATAATAACTATTTGAAATAAAAAACTTTCATAGTTCCAGTATAAAGAGCAACTAACTAAGTACATAAAATATTAAATACAGAAACATAAATAACATGGTTGATCATGGCAACAGGTTATGAAAATAATAAACAGTAATAAGATAAAGAAAAGAACTTATATTTGACCTATAACTAATGAGAAAAAAAAATCATGGATTGATAAACTTTCACTTTTCTTGGTGCTGGGTTTTGTGGATAAGAAAATTTTTTGCATAAACTGTTTTTACAAGGGATGGGAAAAATTTATCCCATCTTGTTATTTAAAATCAAATCATTTTACCTTTTACTAATAATTACATGGAATTTAACAAATATCTGGTTCATAAATGACTTTTTGGATGTAATTCAAAAAAAGCTATAACTTGCAGGTGTAAACTTTTTGACACTAAATGTTTTTAAATCATACAGTAAAGTACCGAATATAGTTCTTTCATTTGAATTTAAAAATATATTAAATTATTTCATTTTGGTTCTCACTGGAAGAAATGTGTGGGTTTCTGTAAAAAAATGGAACTATGTCAAAAAATTCTTTCTTTATAAAAGATTAGGCCGTTGCCATATGGGGTACTCATGTGTTAAAATATACAAGAACTGGTGGGTACAAAAACAGAAGCTAGAATACCCCTTACACCACATAAATTCAGTGCTGCTGAAGGTGAGGAACTGAATTACTGTAATATAAACACATTATATACCATGTTAGAGTGAATGCTGTACAAATGAAGATATAGAATCTTTTATCAAAAAGTTTATGGTTAACTTCTGGTCATACAATGAACACCAGTAATGGGAGAAAAAGGATTCTTTCACAAAACATTATTTTTTACAATAATAATAAAAAAGGAATTCTTAATGAATTCACAAATACCTATGTAAAAACACTATAGTATAGGTGAACTAAAAAAGGCAGTATGGCACTTAAATTTTAGAACATATTTACCCTGTCAGAGCAAATGTTGCACCCACAACAGTAGAAGAGTTTAAATCAGAATATTTTTCATTATAGTCAAAGTTAATATTCTGTGGTCAACCATCTTGTATATTTCCAATTAAGTTTTATATTTTATTAGTCATAATTTTACACATCTTCTGTGATTATGTTTCATGCTTTAACTCTCTTGCTATAAGGTCGGTCAATTCATCTCGTAGCAATTTTGTACTCATTATAGTTTCCATATTATAACTTCAAATAGAATACGTGGATTTTCACAAAATTTGGTAGATTTTTAGTAAATATTACAAGTCTTTTGTGCACAAAAAATCAGATTTTTTTATGAAGTATTTTTCTAAAACTTTGTCCGTGAATATATATGGACTTTTTTTTACTAGTCCGAATGTAAGGTGAGTACCATGTTAAGATTAAAAATATTTTTCTTTGTCTCAAAAATCTCAAATTTCATTTATATAATCTATAAAACCTCCTAATTAAATTTCAAACATTTTGTATTCAGTAAAAATATACATCTTACTTGTTATTTTCTCTACGCTATCTCTATACAAGGTTGATCAAATTGACCAACCTGGCAACCACCAAAAAAAATTCAAAATAAATCTAAATTACCCTTTGTTCTTTCTAGAATGACTTCAGATTGTAACATGAAACTACATTTGTTTATCCCCAAAAGCTTTAAACCTATAAGAGCATACATCTATTTATACTTAAATGTTATTGTTTTTTGCCCTTTGAACTACTTCTAACTACTATTCACGCCATTGTGAGTTGTAAATCACTTAAAAAATATGCAGCTCATGTTATGCTATCAAATAACATTTCCTAATGTAACCTTAACTAACCTAAAAAGTTTCATATTTTTACAATTTGTTACTTCTATAATAATAAATAAAGAGTACACATGAAAAACAAGAAATAAAGTACTTACCTGGACCTTCTTTTTTTTTTTTGCTGTTGACTGTTGATAACATTTAACCTTATTTTTTTATACTAATGGTAATACTGCACTAAATAATATTTCACTTAACACTACCTGCCTGGGCATCATTTACTGAGCATGTCATGAGTTTTTAGTGACTTAAATTCAAAATTCTATTAAACTACTTTATATTTATGTTATAACAATTAGTATAGCACAAATCTTAGCTAATAATCCATATTTTAATAGTATATAAGTTTTAAGTTCTTATTTTTATAAGGCAATATTCGAAAAAATCCTGAATTTCCCATAGTATGACCCATTTTCTATAGTCATCTCCTCTTCTCTATTTTATTCACCACCCTCCTATAAGTACAAAATTAAACATAAATTACTTACCATAAAATCATCGTTGTTCAGACAAACCATAATTTTTATAGCCTTCAATTTTGTTTGGTTACAGACCCATCAAATGGAAAATCAGACCCAACTTGCCACACCCACCTGTCACATCCTCTCTTTCAGGATTTGTAAGTAGTTCTATCTTAGATATAATTCTATATTATCTATAACCAATATAAAGTCAAAGTTTCATGTGTCAAATGACATATTATATTACATTGTTGATGAATTTGTGATGGCTCTTGTCACATCTTAATATGAAAATCACTTTGCACACAGACTATTCAAACAAATAATCAATATATTCTCGAACAAATCATTGTTTACTTTATTTAAAATACTTCACTAACAATATTTTTTATACGTGAAATACTTATAATATTTACTTAAATAATGCCATATTTTGTGAAGATATACATACTGTATCAAAGTTAGTAGTACCAAATCTATAAAGACTTTAAACAAGTACAAAGAGGTCACATGGTCAGTCAAATCGACTGAACCCGTGTTGAGAGAGTTAATTAAACAATGCACCAAAGAGCATAGAATAACCACATGCAAAAAAGCAGACAATGTCCCATAATTATCACAATTTTTCTGGCTTTCTAACTATGTGAAAAGAGCCTTAAAATTCATCTAAGGCCATTGATGTATTCCCGTGGGGATAAAGCTTGAACTGAAAGGAAAATTTAGAATTCTCGATACAGAAAACAACATAATAAAATATGTCATTTGATCAATGAAAACTTTCACTTTCTAGGTCATAGGTAATATAGTATTGAGTGTCTGAGAGAACTACTGACAACTGCTGAAAAAGATGTGATAAGTGGCTGTAGCATGAGGGGTCTGATTTTCTATTTTATTTCACTGTAACTAAATATGATCCAAGGCTATGTAAGTTATGCTTTGCCTGAGTGACGACAATAATATAATGAGTAATTTACATTAAATTTCATACTTCTTGGAGGGGTGGTAAATAAATCAGAGAAGAGGGGATGCTTAGAGAGAATATGTCACAGTTCTCATACTAGGGGAAATTCAGGATTTTCTTTTAACACTGTTTTATAAAATTAAGAACTTAAAACTCATATAATATTAAAATATGGATTATTAGCTAAGTTTTTATGTTATAGTTATTGGTAGTGTAATTAAATGTAACTCACTAAAACCTTGTGACAAGCACAGAAAAAAGATTACCATGAAGAGAGGGTTAAAGTGATAATACAAAATAAAAATTTCATTGTAATAGAATTGCATTTCATTTAAAATGCTACCTTAACAGGTTTCAAAACAAAAAGTTACCACCAGAAGAACTAAAAATCAGGCATGCAAGAGCTAACTGCTTTATAACAAACAAATTATGGATATAAATAAAGGAGTTTAAAGACAACAGAAGGGAAATAAACAAACCAGTGATCAAAAAAAATTCTATACCACAAGTGTTCAGTTAGACAATGTTCTGATGAGAATGTAATATTTTATAAAACTTTATTAAATAATGAATATGGAAACAGAAATACTTTGTTAATTGTTAGTCAAATAAGTCATTTTTGAAACCTGTCTTATATTTGTTTCACTAAATTATCTTACTATTGCTACACTTGCGTGTTCAGTTAAACAATATTTCTAAACTAACGAAGATGGAAAGATAAAGTAGTATATTTATATAACAAATTTTTCCATTAATGTGAATTCACTGGGAATTTACCAACTTTTGTTGGCAAATGCAAGCTCGACAGTAAGTAACCACCAGATGCTAGTTGATACTGCTGGTCTAACAAGCAACCAGAACATGTTGGTTGACACTGGCTCTCTAGGAAGTAACTGATACACGCTAGTTGACTCTGGCTTTTTAGGAAGTGATCAACATATGCTGATCGACCCTGGCTGTCTAGCAAGTGACCAACACATGCTGATCGACCCTGGCTTGCTAGCAAGTGACCAATACATGCTGATCGACCCTGGCTTACCAACAAGTGACCAACACATGCTGATTTACCCTGGCTTACTAGCAAGTGACCAACACATGCTGATCGACCCTGGCTTACTAGCAAGTGACCAACACATGATGATTGACCCTGGCTCTCTAGCAAGTGACCAACACATGCTGATCGACCCTGGCTTACTAGCAAGTGACCAACACATGCTGATCAACCCTGGCTCCTTAGCAAGTGACCAACATATGCTGATCGACTATGGTTCTCTAGCAAGTGACCAACACATGCTGAGCGACTATGGTTCTCTAGCAAGTGACCAATACGTGCTGGTTGACACTGGCTCTCTAGCAAATGACTGATACATGCTAGTTGACTCTGGCTTTCTAACAAGTGACCAACATGTGCTGGTTGACCCTGGTTTTTAGAAACTGACTGCCACATATTGGTCGACACTAGCTGTCTAGCAAATTACCAGCACATGTTGGTGAACACTGGCTCTCTAGCATGGCTGATCAACCATGGCTGTCTAGCAAGTGACTGATACATGCTGGTTGACAATGGCCCTCTAACAAGTAACAAATGCATGGTGGTGAACACTGGCTCTCTAGCAAGTGACCAACACATGTTGATCAACCATGGCTGTCTAGCAAGCGACTGATACATGCTGGTTGACAATGGCCCTCTTAACAAGTAACAAACACATGGTGGTGAACACTGGCTTTCTGACAAGTGACAAACAAATACTGGTTAATCAGGATACAACCAACACATAATGTTAGATACTGGTTCACTAGAAGGACCAGTTAGGTGTCTAAAAAGAAAAAAGTTAGTCAATGATGCTTGAGTGTCCAGAATGGATGGACCCATAGAATAACAACCTGACATGTTAACCAGTAAGCTAAATCTGCCTCAAAGAGAAAAATATCTTCAGAGATTTTTTTTTGGTTGGATTAAATTATCAGTAAATTGAGAATGCAAGTATAAAGAAGATCCCCTTTACAGGAAATATTGTTAAACTTAATAATTTCAATGAGGAATTAAACATTTTACAACTTCAAATGAAATGTCCCTCAATATTGTACAAATGGCAGTCTTTTCTTCAACCACTTTTGATGATATTTTCCTTAATTCTTATGTTTAAAATATGCATCTCTTACATGAAGTTATTATTTGTTACAAGTCTGTTTGTAAATATTGCATTATAGCTCTGGAAAACTCATAAAATATTCACAAAAATACTGCTCCATTAAATGCAACTTGAAATATGTTTGCCTTTAATGTCCATAAGACCTGGCCATTAAGATATCCAAACAACTTCATATCATTAATAATTTGAGGTAATGTGGTTGTTACTTAAACATTTTGTTTAAACCAGATACAGAAATGGATATTCTGTACATATTCTACTGATTATAGCACAACATGAGGACTTTAAGAGATTAGTAAAGTAACTATTAGTGCCATAAAATTCATCTTAGTGGGGATTAGTTGTTTTAGAAGCATAGATTAGTAGCTTAGTTTACTAACTTTTGAGCAATTCATGTTCAAAAACCTGTAAAAAATCTTCAAAATGTGCAAAGATATCCTTCACTATCCTGTAAGATTATTATCTTTTAAACAACTATAAAGTTAGTATGTAAGGTTGAGTAATATAAAAGTACCTGCAACCTGCTGGTGTTCCACTACTGGATCACGTAAATAGAGCTACCTACTACTACTAACTATGCTTGCATCCTGCTGGTGTTCCACTACTGGATCACATAAATAGAGCTACTTACAACCAATTAAGCTTGTATCCTGCCTGCATTTCACTACTGGATTAAGCAAATAAAGCTACTTACTATAAACTACACTTGCATCCTGCTGGTGTTCCGCTACTGGATCACAGAAATAAAGCTACTTATTATCAACTATTCTTGCATCCTGAGGGTGTTACAATACTGGATCACATAAATAAAACTACTTACTACCAACTATGCTTGTATCCCACTGGTGTTCCACTACTGGATCACAAAAAACTACTTACTACTAAATGTGCTTGTATCCTGCTGGCATTCCACTGCTGGATCACATAAATAGAGCTATTTCCTACCAACTAGGCTTATATCCTGCTGGTGTTCCACTGCTGGAATAAGTCAATAAAGCTAATTACTATCAACAATGCTTGCATCCTACTGGTGTTCCACTACTGGATCCCATAAATAAAGCTAATTACTATCAACAATGCTTGCATCCTACTGGTGTTCCACTACTGGATCCCATAAATAAAGCTACTTACTATAAACTTTGGCTGCATCCTGCTGGTGTTCCACTACTGGATCCCATAAATAAAGCTACTTACTATAAACTTTGGCTGCATCCTGCTGGTGTTCTACTACTGGATCCCATAAATAAAGCTACTTAATATAAACTATGGCTACATCCTATCAGTGTTACACTACTGGATCACATAAAGCTAGTTACTATCAACTATGCTTGCATCTTGCTGGCATTCCACTACTGGATCAGGTAAACAAAGATACTTACTATCAACTATGCCCTCATGTGCTGGTGTTCCACTACTGGATCACACAAATAAGCCTACTTACTTCCAACTGTCCCTGAACCCCTCTGGCATTCCACTACTGGAGAAACTGAGTAAAGCTACTTATTACCAACTATGCCTTCATACTGCTGGCATTCCACTATTGGATCATGTAAATAAAGCTACTTACTACCAACTATGCCTACATCTTGCTGGTGTTCCACTACCAGATCACATAAATAAAGCTACTAACTACCAATCATTTCTTCATCCTGCTGGTGTTTCAGTTACATTGGTAATCAACAAGACTGCAGGTAGAAGAGTTCAAGTATTAATGTGTCATCATAATATATGTAAGCAATTGCCAAGACAGCCCACATTCTCCGTTTCACTCCTACTAGTGCTTTTTTGTGTCACTGTACATACACATAAAGAAATATCTTCACTAGATACTTTTTCATAAATCTAAACCTCATGTAGTAATAGATATTAAAATCATCATCAATTTTATCATTAAATACATTTATTAGTAGCTAACTTTTAAAGTTTAAACATACCCAGAAAATCTCTGAAGGTTGTCTTGTCATGGGTCATCAGATGATCAATAATAGCTCTCCAATGTCCCATGCATGTAATGTCCATTTGGAAGAACACTAAGTCCATGAAGAGTTCCAGAGCATCCTTCTTCCAGGCCTTTCTGGTGTACTGATAACCAGACATACTTGCAAGAAGCTGAGAACATGCTCGGAAACTTGGTGCATTATGAGTACTAAGTAAAATAAAACACTAAATTACCCAAAACATTAATAACTAGATCTCTCTTTTAGCTTTAAAACATTTGATATTGTAGTTGAAACAGAAAATATGCAATAGAACCTAACATAATACAATATAATCTCTAGATACAAACAAAACTTTAGAAAATATTTCATTGTATCAATGAAAAATAATGTTACATTTTTACAGTTCAACTCATACCTGTGGTTACGAAGATATGGTGTCACATAGTACATAATGCTTGTCAGTAGAGGAATTACTTTTTCCTTTTCTTCACTTACATATACAATGTCCAAAACAGGAATCAGAAACTGTAACAAAAATATGCAAGTGAACAATATGCGAGGGTCAGCAGCATGTCTTCTGACTATAAGCTGGCATTTTTGCTTATGAATTACATAAAAATAAAAAATAAACCTGTTCCCCACATAACACACACACACATTTGGTATCAATAATATTTTAATACTATTACATATTATTAATATTAATACTAAATTTATCACAAGGACAATAGAGTCTAATTACAAACAAGAGCACTATTGCAACAATTGTTAGCATATCTATTAAAAGGATATTTTGGAATAAACAAATTTCAACAGTAATGATGTCTTACAAAATACACATAATATGACAGTGGTTCATAATACGGATTGCAAAAAATTGCACAAAACCCTAATTGAGCATTCAGACAAAAAGCACCTTAAAAATTAAAGATTCCATTCAAACAACACTTTAAAACCATTACTATTGAATGCTAAGGCTGTACACATATAAAAATGCACAAAAAAGCACACATGTTAGACTTACAAGGAAAAGAAAATCTGCTCAAAATGACCTGTTTGTAATTCTTCTTATTATTATTATATCTCTTGACAGCCTACACTAAAAATGGCTTGGTATATTGCACCCAAACCTAAATAAGGTACTGCGAAGGTAGTATGTGTACTGAAAAGTCAATTTCTTTTTTTCATATTTTACATAAACTAAAAAAACATCATAATTCTGGTGTAAATGATGTTATCTTTACCCCTTGAAGTTAGCTTTCTTACAAACATCTGCTGTTCCTTTAAAAAGCAGGGTGAAACAGGAATTACCAGCCAATAATAGATGAACATTAAATGACTGTAACATGTACATACTCAATGCTTTGTACATTGTACAATAGGTGTTTTTAGGGAGCCAACCCCTATATTATGTATCAAGTGAAGGGGTAAACAAGAGAGAGTCCTCAACAGCCATGGCTATAATTAGAGTTCAAATTGGTCAAGATAGGAGCTATGAGCTAAAAGCTGGTACTAGAAGAAAAAAAAAAACTCACAGCCATTCTATGAGTCACTATGCCACAGCTACAAAAAATCAGTACACATAATATTAAATCTTATTAAACACATTCGTAGAATTATTACTTTAAGAGAGACAAAGGTATATTTAAAGCAATGTTTTAGACATATGTGTTTAATTTGGAAAAACGGCTCTTGTCTTGGAAAAATTGTATACATGCTTAGTGGGGGGTTGTGTCTTAGTCTAGGGATATGTTCACCCATTGCTATGCATTAGATAATAAGAATTTAGTTGCACAGAAACTATAAATGTTCACTATATTCTCAAATAAATCTCTATAACAATCTCCAGTTGTAGCTTAACATTTTACATATCAAACTAACGTGATCAACTGGTCAATAGCTACAGTAAACCATTCTGAACCATATAAACTAGCTATTAGCTATGTTTACTGCCATTACAATGTATAAAGTTAGCTACCATATCAAGTGATCATTTGCCCGTAGTTGAGCATAAAAAAGCCAGCAAACAAGATAAATAAAAAACTGGTAATAGAAAAACCTGTAAATTAGGAAAATAAAAAATTATGGAAACAAAGCTGGAGACACTGTAGACTCCACCAAATTTAATTCTAGGTAACAGCATGGAGCCAAAATAAGGGTTTGTAGTTTGATTAAATAATATCTACAGTATCTCCAGCCTTGTTTGCTTACCTTTATTATGATCTCTATTTGCAGGTTTTTAAATTTCCAATTTTGTATTTATCTTGTATGTATTTAATAAACAAAAGAGGCCCAAACAAAAAGTGAAATTGAATACATTGCATAAATTAAAATGACTCCCAGGGTACAGGCGACAGTGTGGGATATAATAAATGTGCCCTTGTTTTTGGAGGTGACCGTGGAAGTAAGACCTACATTGTGGTGGAGATAAACCACCTACCAGTCTTAACCTCCATTCACAAGTCTCACATGTTGAAGAAACAAATCATTAAAAATGAAATGATAATAATAATCACATCAAAAAACTATAATTTTGGAGAGTAAGATGTTGGTACTCAAGCCCACAATGTCCCACATCCATATCACCCTTCACTCCCTGCATAACTATAACCTTTAAATGATTAACTTTTAACTCTTTTGTTAAGAAAAACTAAACAATCATTAAATATTAACTCACAAAATAAATTCAATAATATCTATACTAAACAGTCTTCTACATCCAACAAAGGTACAGAAATACAACATGAATATTCAAAAGGATTTTGAAAACAAAAGGAAGTTGGAACTTCAGGGTGTCCACTGAATTTTCATTTTCAAATTCCCTGTATTTTCACTATTTTTTTACACGTATTTCCAGTGTTTTTTCTTGACCATATTATACAAAAATATAAATATATATATGTCTGACTAGATAGCCACCTTTTGTTTGACCACAGTTATACTTCTGAGCAATATGGCTGTCCCAAAACATCATTTTGAACAGCAATCCTATTTGATCATTGTGAAAAATGACTCATGAGACATTTAAGAGCCCACAGCATTTTGGCCTATTTTTGCTTCTTTTGTTTGCACATACCCGTTCAGTGATGTTGAACTGTGGCCACTTTCTTCTGATCATTGACAACAGAACTAGGGTCTTCTGTATTTGCCATTACTGGGATATCACCATGTTGCTTGTCAGTTTCATTCATAGGCTTCTGAACAAAACTCATTACATTCACATCAGTTGCTTCTGCAATGACTTTTTGTTTGTGTCCTTTACTTGAAGCACGACTTCTAACTGAAAGTTTTCCCCACGTTACTCAGCAATATCTTCTTGTGACATAGATTGCAAGAAGTTGCATGGCTGTCATTTTTACTGTTTCCATGGGTCAGTTTGCCATGAAATGTTAAATTGTGACATGATGGCTATGTTATTTTTTCTATTTCATGCTGCTATAATATCTAAAACAAGGTATAGTTAGTAAAATTAAAGTACTTTAAATCTTACAGAAAATGCTACTACAAAACAATAATATTCACTATTCATTTGAAAAAGTAAAACATCTTAACTCTTTCGGCACTGGCTCGGTCCCTGGAACCAACCTCATAACCATTTTGTGCTTGTTATAGTTTTCATGCTGTAACTTTTAAATTAGTAGGTGAATGTTAACGAAATTTGCTAGATTATCAATAAACATTACAGTGCTTTCATATGCAAAATATCTAATTTTCTTATTATGTCTTAAGGTGTATAAAGCAATGTTTTTGTCATGTTTACTTTTTATTTTGCATGTTGCCTATCTATCATGCAAAGTAATATTCATTTTAAGATTAAAAATACTTTTATGCATCAGAAAATTTTCAAATTTCACTTGCAAAATCTTTATAATGCTGAGATAGTTATCAAAAGTTTCTTAAGAAAAACTTTATATTTTATCTGTTACTTTCAGCAATTAATCTCTGTATCGGATTGATAGATTTCAATGTTCTCGCAACCACCATAAAAAATTAGGATATAAATATAAATTATGCCTCTTTCATTCTAGAATGAACACAAAACATAAATGTTTAGACTATAATAGCTTAAATCTCATAACATTATATATTTATTATTTTTATTATATTGACCATTCAGCCATGCCTGGCTAACAATACAGAAGTTACAATGATGCGGCTCACATTCACTCATGTTACTGTATCAAATAACATAAAACTGACCTTTAGTCTGTGCAAAGTAATTTGTCTTGGCTGTGTTTAAGTACACTAGCATTTTGTAAAATACAGTCAAATTTCAATTATTATACATTATATATGTATATAGATTATTGCTATTTTGAAATAAGTTCTTAAACATATTTTCCCTAAAACACAGAACAGTAAATAAGAAGTAAAGCAAACAATTATCTCTTCTAGTTATGACCTTTGTACTGGGTTGCTGCTTGACGCAGGTTGCTAAGCCTTTAAAATTTTTGCACTTGGAGGATATGAAACAAAATATTTTTTTTAGGTTTATACATACATTTGAATAACTAACAAATCATAAATTCCACTATAATTTTTAAAACTTAGTAACTAAGATGTATTTTAGTCTAAAAAATTTGAAACTTCGAGCAGACTAAAGATAAATATGGGTTCAAAAGAAAGAAATGGTGCCAATTCCATTAAAATGGTTGAGAAAGCCACTAGGGGGACATTCAGAGCTTCAAATTTGTTATTCATGTCATATATATATATAAGTAAGTGTATATAAGGGAGCATTTCCAAAAATAGAAAGAGGTGGGTGGGGTGCCAGTGTGTTTGATTTATTACATGAGCAATATCTTAGCAAATTGAAAAAATAAGAGACTCTTATTTTATATTCTAGTTGTCAATATCAGTAACTTGAGTTTTTAATTTGTTCAAAACTACAGACTTAGTATTTTGACTTCACAAACATCTAATTTGAACCAGTGCTGCATTCAACATACCACGTGACACACAAAAATCAATGTCTATCTGTAATTTTTTAATATTTGCTTTTAAATTAAGAAATTGAGTAATATATAGTACTAAAATTTGAATTATAATCTACAGTTTGACACCAAACTTAATGACATAAATTCATGAAATATTAGTTCAATAAAATTTTGAATGTGAGTCAACAAACTAGATGACATGCCCTGTGACCTGTCTCGAAAGGGTTAAATCAACATATAATTTTGATTTCAACCCCTAAATCATCTTTACTTATACAATTTTAAGCCAGGTATCATAGCATCCAAAGTTAAAAGCATTATGATCAGATGTCATATTGTTTTACAGATCTGTAAAGATAACCGTACAAGTAGCATTGTCTATGAGATGAGCAAAGAGTGTTGATTTTTGGAATATAAATGTACCAATTTGTGAACATGGTGGGCAACTGCCCTCATGACTCGACTGAAAATGTGAAGAGTAGACACAATGACAAAAGGAAGAGCATGGAACTTGAAGACTCAATTTGCATGGACAAAATGTAGAAAATGTTTGGTGGGTGGGACATTTAAAATATGTAAAAAAGCATC